TTTTCCTCTTTTATATGCACCACACACACCAATACACACACTGAAAGGTCAATTTCGTAGGAAATGAATTAGGGTTTCGAGGTTAGCTCTAAAAGGCAATGGAGGCTGATAAGGCGAGGGTTTGGGGGGAGGGGGGCTTAATGTGTTTAAATAGTTTGTAAACCCTAAAAATTAGGGTTTACCAGTGACTCACATATGACCTGTTTTCGCAAGGGAACACCCCACCTCATGCATGAATTGGAGTACGCCCGACGTACTATACGTACACCCAACGTACTCGGGTCCAAGTCAAACAAATAAATGAGATAGTTTTGCTAAGAATTTACCAGACAAATCGGGGGTTACACAACCAACACTACCAAGATTACATTCTGTATAAGAAGATGAATATTGAGCAAATGAACAACAATGTTGAATTAGTGATGTTGCAAATGAAGGTGAGGAAACATAATGTTCTCTAGTTGGATGAGAAGGAGAAGTACGCTGAATTGTAATTACAAGTTAATTTGAAGAGAAATACAAAAATTCAATTCTACTTTGCTACTACTTGTTTGATTATTTATAACGCCGCAAAATCAAAAGTAAGAATTTTATTTTTAATTAAACCTAAAAACCATCTAATATTCATATCAACCATTCAGAATTATGTCAGTGTAAAAATAGTTATCAAAGTAAAATCCCAAAATCATAAACGTGCGGAAACATGGATGGATGTGCTCTGATCAAGTAGGGTTAAACTTAAACCATAAGCACAAAGCTTAGTCATGAGTTCTCCCCAAAATACAACATATCATACATAATGGGCCTCTCCTTACATCCGTCGAGCCTCACCCAACATTAGGCCCCACCCAGTAAAGATCTATCAATAGCATGCGACGGGCCCCGCCCAACACACTTATCAGGCCCGGTATACATGCAAATACAAACAATACATGCAAGATTCACATAAACAACTGGCCTTATAATAACAATAATCAATGGGCCGACATTGGTGCCTTCGACCCGCCAAAACATTGTGAGAAGACTCACCTCAATCAAATGATGAACAGTCGCACATATAGGCTGCCCACTACGATGGCTCCTCAACTGAACACATCCAAACTAAATCTAATAACTAATCAGGGTACTCACCACAACTAAAAGTCCAATCACAAACCCTCACATAAAGGGTAAAATACCCTTCTACCCTTTCTACCCTAAGCCCAAAAAGCCATGGCCCAAGTGTAAAAGACCTTAGGCCCAATGAGTGACCTAAAAGGCCTCTGGTAATTACGTCCCATGTACAAGCTAACACAAAAAAGGGATAACGGGGCTCAGGCGTGTTACGCTCAAAGTATGCTTACATAGGCCCTACGTACTACCCAAATCGCCAAAACACCATTAAGCACTTAATTCTTTAAGTCCAAACGTCCAAATTGTATATGTAGCTCTTGGGAAATGTTTTAAATGATAAAGTCATAAACTTGATACCTTTACATGGCTCAATAAGGCCCAACACTTATTTCTAACGCTCTAACTTCATAATATGATCATCAACTCTTATATGGTTGAGCTAGATCAATCAATATGCCATTTTTATGAACAATGGACCTCAAAAACACCAAGATCTACTAATAAAAGCTTCTAGAGTAACTTATACTCACATGAATCAATCCATGGTGCCAAAAAGAACAAAAAACCTAACTAGCTTAGATCTAAACAAAGAATCACGAATATTGAGACTTTATACCTTTTAGAAGATGATAAAGGTGAGTAGATTTTGGATCCACAAGCTTCAAATTAAAAAAGGCTTCTCCAAAGGGTTCTTCTTTCTTCAATACATACCAAACACACACCAAAAGACACAAAAAAAGGCTCAAAACACTCTAAAATGGGATTAGGGTTTCGTGGGAACTACTTTGGATGAAGGAGGTTGATTATGGATGATACCATAGGTTATAAGGTACTTAAATAGGGTACAACCCTAAAATTTAGGGTTTGCCTTTGGCTTGATAATGCCCGACATACCATAGGTAGGCCCAACATTCTAGGGGCAAAACCCCATGTCCAAGGTTCGCCATGCTACATCAAACGTACCATGATTACGCCCAACGTACTAGGCCAATGCATAAAATCAATAAAGACTTTATAATTTAAGAAATTTACCTGAAAACCAGGCGTTACATTCTCCCCCACTTGAATCAAACTTCATCCTCGAAGTTCGACTCTACAAACAACTCTTAGTAGTGCTCTCTTATCTCATCCTCAGGCTCCCGTGTCCATTATGAACCCTTTCGGTGCTGCCATTGCACCTTCACTAGACCCACAACCTTGTTTCGCAGATCTTCATCCTCTTGTCTAGGATCACAACCGGTCTCTCTATGTAATTCATACACTTATCTGCCTAAATATCCTCCAAAAGGAACTACTACAGAATCATCAACGAAACACTTTCGTAGCCGACAGACAGTAAAAGTGTTGTGAATCTGACTGAGCTCCTTGGGTAGTTCCAAACGATAAGTAACCATGCCCAATCAGGCAATAACCCTGAAGGGACCAATATATATGGGGCCCAACTTACCCCACTTCCTGAATTGGATGACACCTTTAGGAGTACCATATCCCCAACCTAAAACTCCAAATCTGACCGGTGTCTATCCGTAAAACTCTTTTGACGGCTCTACACGGTTTACAATCTCCTGCGTACTTGCTAGATCAACTCAGTAGTTTGAAGCACCACCTCAGTGCTACCCATAACTCACTGACCGACCTTGCCCAAAAAAATTAGGGTCCAAGACTTTCTTCTGTAAAGCATCTCAAAAGGAGGTCGATCAATACTGGCGTGGTAGTTGTCGCTGTAAAAAAAACTCAACCAGTAGGTGATATGTATCCTAACTACCACTAAAATCCAACACACATGCCCAAAGCGTATCCTCCAAGGTCTCGATAGTCCGCTCACTCTGAACTTTGGTCTGAGGATGAAAAGTTGTACTGAAGTGCAACCGAGTACCCAACTCCTCATGGAACCTCCTCCAAAACCTAGAAGTGAATCGAGCATCCCAATCAGAAACCGCTGAGACAGGAACCGCAGGCCATGGCATAACCTCCCGGATATAGACATCCTCTAACTTCTCTATGGAAATTCTCTCCTAAATATGAATGAAATGCACACTCTTGGTCAACTGATCTACGATGACCGAAATCGAATCCACTCCTCTCGCGGTCCACTGCTGCTTCGTGATAAAATCCATTGTCATCTCCTCCTATTTCCAGACGGTAAAACCTAACGAATCTATTTTTCCATGAGGTCGTTGATGCTCGGCCTTGACTTTCCTGCAAATCAAGCACCTCTCTACATACTGGGCCACATCCCGCTTCCTGCATGGCCACCAATAATTGACCGGAGGACTGTGTAGAAAACTGCGACTTAAGTTCCCCTTACATCAAATCTAACACATACCCCCAAAATATTGGACCCAAAATCTCCGATGAACGGTCAAAATATGACCAACTATACACTCACTCTTCTAGTGTTCCAAATTCATATCTTCGACCTGAGCCTCTCGAATCTACTCTAAGAGCAGGGTAATCACAGTCATCCTTAGACAAACATCCATGATAGGAGTAATTGGCTGCATTGCAGCTAAGAGTATCAACCACCACTTTGGCCTTTCCCGAGTGATAAAGGATCAAACAATCATAATCCTTCACGATATCCACCCACTTGCGCTACCTCATGTTCAGATTTGGCTGATCCATTAGATACCTCAAACTCTTGTGATCCATGTAAATAATACAAAGAACCCCATACAAGTAATGTTGCCAAATATTGAGGGAAAAAACCACAGCTCCCAGCTCCAAATCATGAGTGGAATAATTCGCCTCATGAGGCTTTAGCTATGACGAATCATAAGCTATCACACGACCCCTCTGCATCAAGACTACACCCAATCCCGAATTCGAGGCATCACAATACACTACAAAATCATCCACACTCTCTGGCGGGGTCAATCTCGAAGCCTCACATAATTTCCACCTTAAAGTCTCAAATACCTCCTACTGCTCAGGCCCCCAACAGAAAGTATCAGACTTCTTCATCAACCAAGTCAAAATTATATTGAATAATAAACAACAAAAACACACATAAAATGAAAAGAAAATTAAATACATTATTGTTATATCACATATCTACACAATGATTAATAGGAAACCTGACCCCAACACCAGTTAAGTAAAAGAATATTAGACCTTGTTTAACCAACTAATAGAGAAACCAATTCCACCCGATGTTCCATTTGCAAGGGATCTATTTTCCATAGAAAATTTTTATGGTCTATTTTCAACTAATCAACCAGAAAAGTGAAAATGCACGGTATATGATTAAGCTAAAAAGTCAAAAGCCAAAGGTTAAATTCAATAATTAATATCACTTTCATTAGTTTTATCATTATAGCGCCCTACTTTTATTTCTTATTATTGCAACCATTTAGAAGATCTATCCACACGTAACTTCATCCATATACAAAACATTTAGTGATGCTATACTTGGGTAGATTTTTCAAAGTATAATGTCCAAATAAGAAAAGAACTAAAACTACAATGTTAATGCTAAGTAGATTCTTTTACATGTGTAGTGTAAATAAGAAAAGAATTGAGAGTACATGTTATTTTGACCTAAAATGTTGGTGTTTTTATCCACAATGTGGAAGCATGGCAGTCTTTTAATCCAAAGTACATGCTCTTAAATATCTAAATGAACTACCAAGTTTTTTAGGAAATACCTTGTAGCTGATGTAAGAAATACATTGATCCAAAATTTATTGTAGCCAAGAAAACATCGGTTTTAGGAAACTATCCTACCATTGTACCTGTTTATAGTAACATATATCACATGAATAACCTTTAAAATGTACCTTTTTACTATTGTCATGTTAAGAGACTACAAGATTTGCATCGTCCTATAAAGAAAAGACTTGATAATTATCAATTTCAAGTCAAGATCAAAATCCATTAATGATGTTTTAGCCGACATGGTTTGATTGTTGGATGGGTTTATGAGTATCAAGTGTAGATTTTGAAAACAATAATGCTATAATTTACAAGCACCCAAAAATGTAAAAAGATAAAGGAGAAGCTCATAACATGATAACCCTATACCTATATAACTATAAGAAAATGATAGGATTGTAATAGACAATCTCTTTAATTTTCTAATTGAATATGTACTGCTATTGTTTCTTGATCTAGCAGCCATCCTCGACTCTTTAAAAGAGTACTCTATTAAAAAACAACAAAACATAGAGCTATATTAACATTTATTTTTGAAATAAAAAATGATATATCACAAAATATGGATTAGAATGAAACAAATAACCAAAAAAATGCCAAAAACAAACCAAAAATATATAAAAGAATCTCACAATTTTTATGATTCTAGAAAAGTTAAAACACATCTTGTGGAAACTCTCTCGATTTACCTTCACTCAGAGAAATTACACCACCACTTTGACCATGCTTTTGTATCGTCTTTTTAAATACTTCTGCAAAAAAAGCCTTTGACAAATCACAAAAGTTAAAATGAACCAGAACCCAACATCATCTCTTGAACTATAGCATATAAAACTAAGGAAAAATATTAAAAAAATCCATTCAACCATAACTAACAAATTAGTTTTTAATTTTCCCAAAAAAAATACAATTAGTAAGTGCTTCAAACTTAAAATATGATTTACTTAACCTGAAATTGAAAATAAATGAACAAACAGCTACATGCACAAAAAATGAAAAAAAAACTCAAATACATCTCAGGTTCATCTCCTGACAAAGACCTATTTCAAGATCGACTTATGTGTGTTTCACACAGACACTCGCAATGTAGAATAACCTGATAAGAAAACACCAATTATCACATAAAAATAAGAAAACTATAAAAAAACAGAAATAAAGAAAAACATTAGAGTGGGTTGTTTCTACCTACATAGAAAACAGAACTCACAAAAACCGTAGATGAAGAAGAAAGCCTAGGAATAGAAAGGATGATGAAGAAAACGTATCTTTTTTGTAAGGTTATATTGAAAAGCTTGCAAAAAACATATGAGCATACATAAACAACATTACATTTTAGTTATATCAACACATTTAATCAAAATTGTTAAATCCTATGGAGCCTAATAAGAAAGACAATCCTACATATCAGAGTCTAAAATATAAATCATACATTCAAATACAGAAAAGCTATATTACCTTCAGTCAAAGCTATAGAACCAGATATAAAAATAAAAATCAAAGCTATATTACCAATATTCAAAAATCCAAATAAAAGGTTAGGGCTCTTCGTTTTCAGAGCATCAATGGTGTGTAGATGAGGATGTAATCGATGGTCAAAGTGTTTATGGAGACATCAATTTTGAGACATTAGATGCACGCCTTAATCACCGCCAACCACAATCCTCCACTACTGAAAATCGCAATCTATTACAGCCTCCTTAAACTACCGATGTCACCTCCGTGAACCTCACTTTCCAGCCGATGAACACCGCAGCACCATCGAGAACCAAAACTATAACCTTTATCGGACAAACAAAGAAAAAAATAAGAAGAAGTAGGCGTCTGTTTTTTTCTTTGTGTTTGGCTGCAAAAGGAAACACACCAAAGTTCTAGTGGTTTTGATCCGATGGTGTTGTAAAAGTCCTAGAGGGTTCAGATCGAGTTTTACCTACTTCTTATTAGAGAAAGAGAAAGTGAAGGATAAGAAAGTACTGAAGTTGTTAGTAGTTCAACTCTAGAGGGCGATGGGATCGAAAGAAAAAAAAAACGTCTCCACATGTTTGATCGGTCTCCCTTTTAACCCCCATAAAAGTCATAATCTTCTGGTGGTGGAATGGGTAACCCTCCGAGCATCAATTGCATAAGAAACCGGTATTATTTCTTTGAATTGAAAAGAAATCAATGGATCGGGATGAGTTACGACACAGGTGTTGTCTTTAAAGACAATTTGAAGAAGTGATCCATGGATGAGAGTGGTCGGTAAGGATGGTGTCAGCGATGGTGAAAAGGGTTAGGTTTACAGAGTGTTGAATGAGTTTGGAGAGAGTATATTTTCAGTTTATGGAATTCAAATTGCGATTCTCCAATGTTCTGTGTATTATAAACTACAAATTGGGCAAGGGGAAAGAAAAGGTCAAAGATAAGAGAAAGGAAATAGATAGGTGAGCCATCTGGGTTAAAAGTTTGACCGATTCAATTGGCCACAAAACAGTTTGATAGTTCGAGGTATTTAGATAAGATGTTGACGGAACTATTTTTAATGCATAAAGTTATTGTACATATTGTATAAAAGCTTGTACCTCTTAAAATTCAGCAAAATGTTGTAAATGTTTATTAAGGTATAAAGATATATATATATACACACACACACACACACACTAGCCGGTCACCCGCGTCAGGCGGCAAAGAGTTTGTGTGCATATAATCCATCAATGTCATTCCATCAACATGTGGCCGCAAAAGAAAAAAAAACAATCTCAATCAAATACAAATTAAGAAACCAATATTTTTCCAATATTACCCTCCAACAACATATTATGCTAAACTTTGACATTCCTTAAGACGAACTTTTGTCGGTTCTTGTTATTGTTCTCTAGTTATGGTACCACTCCTCTAGAAGCTTCAAGTTCTGGAATGGAATTTATGATCATTTCTTATGGAATATGGACCAAAATCATTGAAAAACTCCAAAAAATGGTTGAATTATAACCCGATTCCTTTAGGAACCAAAACCGAAAACTATAACTAAACTCGATTACCAAAAATGTATGTCACTGTATTGCAAATATGATTCTACAGAAAGCAAGAAAAATATAACTGCTTACCTAAAACTAAAATCTGGTGGGTTTTGAATTTGTATTGTCTTTTCCTCCTTCGTCTCCATTCCAGAATGTAATTCAAACACAACATTTGTTAACTTTTTCTATTAAATTATCATCAGGTAATATTAACATGCCTCTTTCCAAAGGCTTTGAATTTTTAAAACTGAATCAAAAAGGTATAGGCTTCCAACAAATAAAAATATAAAGATATTTAATAGCATATTGTGCTTGCATCTATTTATAGTTCTGGAAGCATCAAAAATCAAAATACATACAAAGATAACATTTTAAAAGATCATGTTTAGGCTTCCACCTAATATTAGGCATAGATTGATATGAACTGCATGAAAAGTTTCATTGATTATTAAAAAGAGTTGGTCACAGACAATCAATTGAGACTGTTCTTTCTTATCGAATATTAAGACATTTGTAAATAGAGAAAACATATTGTTTTAACCTATCCAAAAATTTTAAAACGTATGAAGCTTAGTATGTGAATTTGATGACAGTAACCTGAAAAAAAATCAGATTGTTGTAAAAATATCAAAATTTGATCTTGTGAACCAGTAAAAATCTTGTAACCAAAAATCAGAATCAAAACATGAATCAGTCACAACTCAAGACATTTCTACGACGAATAGCGAAATACAATTCTTGAATATTATCTTTTATAACCTTTATTGGCTAGAAATAATTATGACACTAAAAAAGTATGAATTCATTAGCATACCAGCATACCTTGATGATGGTGATAACCCGACTTCTAGGGTTTTAAGAGAGACTCTGAATGACAGCAGCGTTTCCGGTGTGTAGATTAGTTTTCGACATATAGAATCAGAAGCGATGGTGGAGGATTTTAGAGAGGGAGAAGAACCAGGTGATGGTCGGTGACGGTGTAAGGGTACGGGGGTAACGTTCATCTGTGGGTTGTGAACAGTAGTTGTGGAATTGTGGTAACAGAGGCATACCGAAGATTGAAAAAAGTAAGAAGAGAGAGAGAAGAGATTTGGAAGAAACAATGATTGATGGTATGTTGATAATATTAGGGTTTTCCACCTTTAAACATAGGTAGAAGGTACTACTGTAAGTTACAATCAAAGGAACGTTTGTAGACGTTTTCATTATGCTTAATAAGATTATACATGGTGTTATAATAGGTGTTCCTTTTAATTTTCAAGAAATAAGCAATATGTTTAATAATGTAGTAAATAATATATATAAGATTATGATTATTTGGATACTCAATTGTATTTATTGTACTTTTGACAAGATTCATATAATGCATGTAGATGGTTCTTAGACAAAACGAATTTTATATACAACATCAGCACGAATGAATGAGTAAAACTTTTGTAGGTATGATCCCCGTCACTCGCCTATTCGAATTTAGTTAAGGTCATATGTATACTTTTTGCGTTAAATTTTGACGAAACAACATCCTTTACATAACTAGTTTATAAAAAGGTGATGAGATTTAATCTTTTTTACAAAACATTGAAAGTGAGTGAGTGTGGGCCACATGAATTTATATTTTTTTTCTTTTGGGCAGATCTAAATCTGCTTTCCTCACTCATCCTCTTTTGTCCAGATCTTCACCCCTCCACTTCTGCCCCCACAAAATATACCAACAGATGCTAGAGAGAGACCAAACAAAAACTAAATAATTAACATTTTAAGTCTTCTGTCTTCATCTTATATATTTTAACCAGAAGAATATTTGTGTTTTGAAGATGGATATGACCCACAAGGGAAATAGTAACATTCAAGTAGAATCAACTAAAGGCCTTTTAATTTATGAAACGACAAGTAGCATGATGGTTGTCGTTGGACTAACCCTTGAAAATTAGAAGTTGCACTTAGGATGTAAGTAAGTCGAGGTTTCAATATTTGATTGTTAAAAACTTGACTCGAGATGGTGTTAAACGAGTCTCGGCCGGACTGAAGTTTATTTTGGAGGTTGTTATTAAATGAGCGTGAGCCCTAGCTTCAATTAGTGAGCTTTCAAGCTTAAACAAAAATATGTAATATATAAACCTTTTTTTAACATAAAGATAAAAAAATATGATCGAGTCCATAATGATACTAAAATTAAAATGATATTAACACATTAGAATTAGTTGATTTAAACAAAGCCAAAGGTTTTTTGTGTGTGTGTAAAAATTGATTTTGTTTTATAGAGAGAGATGGAATGAGTGTTGCAAAAACAAAAAGGAAATCTTCCATAAAGTCAAAATATTTTGGATTAATTTTAGGTTTAATCCCAATATTTATTTTTTGAATAGAAAAGTTTCGATTATTTTATATGATAATCTATCAGTTTCTATTGAATATATATATATATATATATATATATATATATATATATATATATATATTATTTCGTTAATTTGAACAAAATATAAAATAATCAAGATTTTTCTATTTAAAAAATAAAAGTTTGGATTAAACCTTAAACTAACAAAAAAAAAAAAATAAACTTTATCAGCTTTCCCAAATCAAAATTAATAATGTACTTTCTTTTATGGCTATAAACACACACAACCATATAGAAACTACACTCATACATACATACATAAACACATTCACATGCAAACATACTAGATCACACATAACCACAAACACATACATAGTTATAACATTATACTTTTAAAACCTCATTAACTATAACAAGACATAATTTAGGGTTTATGATACTGATATGAATAATTATAAATAAAAATGCCTATTAATAATTATAAATATAAATATATTAATTTGTGAAGACAAATATTTAAAAGAAACTAATGTTATATATATATATATATATATATATATATATATATATATATATATATATATATATATATATATATATAATAATTCTATAAAAATTCAATTTTATAGAAACAAGTTCATAAAAATTGCAATTTCAGGAAAAAAAATGTTAAAAAAACGATAGAAAACTATTTATCAAAACAAATCGAAAACATCTAAAAATAAGAGTAAATTACACGAATTATCCCTCGTACGGGTACCAAAAAGCACGCTCAATCTCTATTTCTAAAAATTAATTTGGACCGTCCTGAGTTTTCCATTTACTTACATGGTTAGTCCCAATTGCACATCAAAATCAGCAATTCATTGTTGGTAAAAATAATCGTTGGTAAAAATACTCAAACCTTCTAACCGTTGCACATCAAAATCAGCAATTCATTGTTGATGAGAGGCTGTGATTTTTTTCACCATGGTAATTTCATTAGTTGAGTAAAATCCTTAGAGAGAACCCGTTATTATCTTCAATTTCCACCCGGTTGTGATGTTTCACATGGTTATACAATGTTTAACTCTTGTGTTTGCTATTGCTTAATTGCAGATTGAGCATCTCCTTAAATCATACATACAAATAAAAATAAAAAAACCCATAAACCTGATACATCTCCTTCTTCCTAAATCGTTAATAGGACAAAAATACCCTTGCGTGCTTTGCACGTGGGGAACTTAAATAGCAGCCATTAACGACTAATGACGACAGGGACTAACTGTGTAAGAAAATCGCAACTCAGAGACGAACCAAGCTAATTTTTGAAAATAAGGATTGAACGTGTATTTCGGCACCTATACGATGGACGATTCATGTAATTTACTCTAAAAATAAAGTTGAAAAGTTAATACAAAATTTGAAAAAAGAAAGAGGCAAAAAATGAAATTTTCGAAAGTTGAGTTGGTTGGTTTATCATGGGTTTAAGTTCGAAAAAAAAAATAGAATATTTCTGTACAAAAAATCACACATAAAAAATCATTTCTATCTATTTGAAAAGTACATGGACCAAAAGAATATATATATATATATATATATATATATATATATATATATATATATATATATATATATATATATATATATATATATATATATATATAAACTCATAATATACCCATGGTTCGTTATATTTAAGTATTTTATAAATAGGAGTTATGTATACAAATCTTACAATTTTTGGTTTATCGAACATTTCCCTTATATAGTTGGTTCTTATGTGTTTATAAACACATAGATATGATCAGTGAAAATGTTAGAAGAATCGTTAAGTTAAGCTGGTTTGACATACAAAACAATATCAACACTTTTCTTAATAACGGAGACATCATATTCTATTTTTATCGCACAAGGAGTAACAAAAAATGGAAGTTCGAGATCATTGCATATGACAAGCGATCATCAACACTTTTTATGTATAAAATAAGTTAAATAAATGAAGAATATTCATGTTTTTTGATAAACCATTATATATGAAAAGCGATTATCAACACTTTATTATACGATTTTGTTCTCTACATGTAACACTCGGTTTCAGATTGCTTCATTAGTCGGGGTTATGGCACAATCATGAGTTATCATGAAGCTTAGGATAAGAAAGGATTTGACCCTTTTCGAATATGGATGTTATGGTTTAAGTGATCCAAGTGTTCGATGGTGTTTTCGAAGCCCATGAGTACATTCGTAATTTGGACAGTTTGGGTCTTCATGAAATTTGGGTTATTGTTCGGGATGTATTAAGGAGATGGTGAGTTTTTAGAAGTGCAGGGCTTCTCGTCACCTATCTATGGATATAAAGTTCATCAGAAACAGACTTAGAACAAAGAAGTTAGAGCTAAGTGAAGTTTAGGGTTTTAGAGGTTCAATGAGTACGCGAGGCGTACTACCATCAGAGCAAAACCCTAATTTTGGGGTTCTTAGCCTATATAAGCATCATTATGACCTTCCGTTGGGTCTATTTGATGGGTTTTGAGCAAAAGAACATCCTATGTGCACGTGCAAAACCCTAAAGCTTTGGATCTAGGTTTCTCTATTGTACATGAAAATTTACCCAAAGCTTGTGAACCCTAATCTAGCATACAACAAAACTAATTGAATATCAAATAAACAAGTTAAATGAATACCTTGATTGTTGATTGTAGATCTTGAAGCTTTGAGAACTTTAGCACCCCAAATGTTGTGCCTCTAATGGCTTGCAAACACCAAAGCAATTTGATGAAGCAAGAGAAAGAGGGGAGAGGGAAAAATTGGGTCCATGACTCCTAGGGTTCAAGTGCATCCGAAATCCCATGCCCTAGGGGTCATTATATAGGGTGTGGAAATTAGGGTTTCAGTGGTTATCCTTATTTGGTTACTTAGGTGTTGTTTGTTTTTTCGAAGCAAAAATGTCTGAAGTCTGCGGACCACCTCTGCAATCCTCTGAAACAGAAGAGGTGGAACAAACGGCTGCAACATTTAAAAAAAATCTGTTTGTTTTTTAACGTCTGCAGACTGCTGCAGTAAGTTAAAATAAGACGTGAAGAGGTTTGAAGCAGTTAGTTTATTGTTACACCACGCAGCACACGTGCAACAGTTTTTAAGTCAGAAGTCTTCTGAAAAACAAACAGCTGCGAAGGGCTAAGTGTTGCGCATGTGCTGCGCGACGCAACAACAATAGGCCAGAAGAGGATTTTTAGAAAAAAAAAAAAAACAGCACCTTAGCCAGCAAGCCGCCTAAGGATCATTCTAGAATCCCCTTGGATGAATTCCTAAGGCCCTTATCCTTAGAATTCGTCCACCCTATGCTTTAGGGTTTCCTTACCTAACTTTACAACTATCACATAATTACAAGTTCAATCTCCTTAATTCAATTAACCTCTTTTGATCACAAAATTAATTCTTAATTAATTCTTAACCAATGTTAATTAAATAAATATGATTTCTCTTTTATTACATTATTCTTATAATATATTAATAAACCATAATATCCTCTTTCTCTATTATTCATCCAGTCAAGTTGCTTTGGTGAAGGCAACCTAAAAGGACCATGCACAACCGGTCAAGTATATACCAAATATAGTTATGGAGTTAGACACTAATTCAAAAATCTCGCACTTGGATAAGTCTATTAACTATAAGTCCAAG